GACCTGTGGAAGGGCAAGGGACACAAAGCCCTTCAGACTGAGATCTAGCCTCCCTTAAACGTCCTAAACATTACTCAAACGAAGGAATTCCTGGTGGGTTATTCCTTCCTCTCCAGTTTTCAAGTCTTGGCTTTTACCTTCTCAGTCTGCCCTGGCCCCTGTCACGTATAGCAATGCAGAGAGGAGAGGCTCACCGTGTGCATGAAACGAAATTCATGTATCTGCCTCCCTGTGGAGGCTGCAGCGGCTGAGCTCTCCTTCCAACACAATTCAAAGCAGTTTGTACAACCCCGTTGGAGCCGAGACAGGGAATGGGGCAGGACTTTGAGCATTGGGGAAGTGAGCTGGAGACCTGGAAGTTGTGACCCTGTGACTGTGCTTATGCTAACAAGTCCTGCAAGGGGGTGGCCGGCCTGGACTGAGCTCCGCTGTTGCATGGCTCTGCTTCTTCTAAGACATCACCTCGGGGGCTCCCTGCATGGTGTTGCAGATACCTGCCCTGCCATGACAAAGATAGCCACTGGGTGCTGCCCATGCCATTCCTTCCCCAGTGAGGCCTCATCTCTCCTGCGTGTCTCCAGGCAGCATTGTGGCCAAGACCTAGGCTGAGGCATCTGGGCAGCTTTGAAGCCCTCTACTGCCTTCACCTGTTCACCTTTTGGCAGCACTGGCTGGACATAATTGCTCGAGCAGGTTTGGAAGGCTGGGTTTTAGACCCTGGCTGCGTTCTGCTCATAGAGATACTCCCTGCTTCTGTTAAGGCTGAGCATTGGCCCTAGGAGCTCAAATGTTCACAGCAGCAGTGCCCAACAGCAAGAGCTGGGTGACTGCACAGCACAAGGAGTCACTGATGTTGGCTGCGGGGCAGGGAAGGGGATGAGGACTACAGGGAAGCACTCACTCTGTGCAGGGAATGGGATGGGAAAATCCTAGTTTCCTTCCTAGGAGAACTGCTGACACGAAGGAGCTTAATTTCTTGCCCTGCTCCTTTTCTTCTGGGTCCGCTCTGCAGCAGAGATGAAATCTGGTAGGAGAGTTTGGGGCTGTTGAACTGGGGCTTTTTTTTCCCAAAGAGGGTGGAAAAGACATGAGATTGTGCCGGGAGCCAGGGGAGGGAGAGAGCTGAGACAGACAGACCCCTGCTTGCCCATCTGCTCTCGGCTCCATCCAGCTGGAGGTGCTCGTCGGGCAGAGCAGAAGGGAGAAGAAGGTCTTGCGTGCTCAGCAGCCACCCCGGTTTCTGAGGATCTTACCAGCCAGAAGGCTTTGCCATGTCCCTGCAGCTCTGAGCAGCACCGGCCCTGCCCGCAAGACCCTCGGAACAGGGAGCCCCTCTCCTGCGTGCCCGTGGGCGCCCACGGGGCGCTTTGCACTGCCACGACTCCCCCCGCCTTGGGGGCCGAGCCCA